GCAAGATTCCATGTAATCTGCTTTAGCAAAAGCAAGAACTAAGTCTGGATCACCAGACAATAATGTAAACTTTAATCGTCAACAATGACGAAAGAAAAGATTCTAAGGAGCGCTATAAAAAGCCTCTTGTAAGTTGTAATAGGTATCGAGCATTTGAACATCCAAATACCTGACCTAAAAGCCTTTTACTATGCATCTGTAAACACCCTTCAAGAGGAAAGGGAACTTTCCCTTTCTTTTCTCAAAAATAAAATTATGTTTTAGAATAATTTTTGTGTTTCTATCCTTCTTTATTTCTATTATAAAATAAAATGAGAAGAATCCTAAAGAAACTGAGGCAGCAGTTAAGTCACTTGTCCTATCTGGATACCCATTTTAACTTGAGTTTGGCATTAAGGGTTGGATGAAGGAAGCATTTGCTTGACTAAAGGCTAGTCCAAAGGATTTTTAGGTCAAATTTTAACTCATTTATTTTATCATGCGGAAGCAAGGTGGGCATAGAAACAACTTTATTATTCTTTAACATTAGATTATTTTTGAGATGAGAAATGATGGGGAAATAGTACCTGACCTCTTATATTTTGAATAGAAAAATCCATTTTATATTAAACCATTATAATTTAAGATGCTTGATTTTATTCAAGAAATTGTTGTAGATAAGATAGTTTATGAGCAGCAATGCAAATATTATAGAAATAAAATAGTAAAAATTTTAGAAAAAATAAGTAATAATGAAGATGAATATCATCTATCTAAGAATCTCAAAAATTTGAAGCAAACAGTTCCAGATTTAAATGAAGATCTAAAAAGATTAACAAAGGCCAAGTAAAGATTATCTTTGTTAATAGTCTAGTAGATCTAATTCCACACTAATTGAGCTTAACATATCAACTATTCATTAGTCAGTAGTAGTTTGAGCTAAGTTCTGAAACCCGTAGAAAAATTTGGTATCATAGCTAAGAAACAATAATTTTAAGTATAAAAGTTGTTTTTACAGTAAATATAAATTTGAGGACTAAAAGATAAAACAAATATAGTTAGAGGACTAACTGTTCTCTAATAGAATAGGAAGTTTTCTGTCAAAGATAACAAACTAGACAAAATTGAAATGAATTTTAAAGATAGTAGACAAGATTGGTAGAATCCAAAGATAATAGACGAAACTGAAAAAAATATGAAAGTTAGTAGATGATTTGTTAAATTAAGCCCAACCCAAAATAACCCAAATCAAGAAGCATGGGACTCGAGGTAATCTAATCCTAACTCAATCTGATTAGACTTATTTGTCATGTCTATTTAAAATCAAAATATGTATCAATTTAACTAGTGGTGTTAATTGCTGAATTTACTTGAAAGCAAATATAGTCTCACCTATATTTGAGTTTTAGTATTTGAATTAACACATTAAAAAATTATTTTTTTAAACATATGAGTCTAATATAAACATGCAGCTTTAAAATTATCCAACAAATGATTAAATCTCTAACCACGTAAGAGTTAAAGAAACCTTGATTGTAAAAAAAAAAAAAAAAAATCTAAACCAATTTTCCTAGAAATATAATCCTTTCCAGTGTTGCTGATGGTGTGATTAGTGTCACTACAAGAATTCACTGTATCACCGACGAGAAGCCATGTCGGAGAAAGAGGGAATCTGGTCGGTGAAACAAAATACCCACTTGCATCACGTCGGTAATGGGTGCCTCGATGAAGCCCGGCTTAGTAATTAAATCACCGATGTAGATGAAAATCACGTTGGTAAACGCACTAACAATTACCGACAAAAAACATCTTGCAAATAGGGAGCCGGAACAGTTAACTGGAAAACATCTATGGTTCCACGTCGGTAAATCACCGACAAGGATAACGTCTGCATATATGGAGTAGCCTCGAGCCCTGCGCTAATCATCGACGAACATCACGTCTGACAATGCAGTGGAAATGGTTGGCTACGTTACTAAATCACCGACAAGAACCACGTCTGACCACGAGGATCTTCGCTGCAGGTTGAAATCATCTCCAAAATTTTAGGCGCCAATTTTTTCAGGCGCGATTTTTGATTTCTGTTTTCCTAGTGCCGACGAGAATCACATTGGTAATCAACCTTGAAAAAATAAAAAAAAATATGTTGAATTCATCTTATCCCCAAAATTTTAGGCGCCAATTTTTTCAAGCGCCATTTTTTATTACTGTTTTGCTGCTTACCGACGTGTATCACGTTGGTAATGAACCCTGAAAAAATAAAAAAAAAAAATCTTGAATTCAGCTCATAGTAAAATTAATATATATAT